CCAAATACGGTCCTCGATACGTGTTCTCGACTTTCAACCGCTGCGGCCACTTGTTAACACACGTCGAAAAACGAAACAAGGAAATAGCAAGAATAAAATATCTTCTGTAACCCAAAACAACAACGAACAACAATTTGAAACCTCCTGTGTGACGATTATTTAGCCAACCAACTATCAAAGTGAAAATCTCAGTGACCACACCATAAGTAAACAAATAAATTAGCCAGCGAATACATAATTTATTTATTTCCTCGTTGTTTCCGCGTTTCGCTGGGTCCCCTTTGTTGTAGTGGTGACGTAGACTATTCCACGAAAAGCGCCTTTATATATAACCTTTCCAATGCGTTTAGGCCAAGTGCATAAACACAGCGAAATCCTACTATTAAAATTGAAGTCGGAAGTCCAAGGGGCGGATACTTTAAACTTTCACCTACAATCAATATCGGAATATTTATGGCGTGTACCAAGACGACGAGTAACTCAGTTTAGATCTGAAAATTATATATATACACAAAAATATCAGGACAATTCGATAACTCTTAATTTACGCTTTTTCTATTATTTGGAGTAATCTCTATGCAGGACGGTGTAAACATGAACTTATAAACAGCTCCAGGTACCACTCGGTACCTCCGGGGGTGAAATACGGACCTGTAAAGTGAGCGTAAATTCGATTCTTTATTATTCATGTGAATGGTACTCCCTCTCTATTTGTTTCCACACACGATAACGTGCGGAATTTCGCTCAGACAATGTTTTCATGCGTTGTTCACGTAACATTTGACCCGCATCGAACATATCGAGGTGCGAAAACTGTGACGCGTTTAAATATAATTCGACTGTCCAAGAATGTTTACAATTTTATTATTTATTATTAAATAGTTAATTAATTAATTGATATACACGTTGAAATCGCCGACATCCTCGCGTTGACACGACCACAACTTTCCGCTTAAGCATATTAACTGGGCCCTCGCCTTATTATTTATTACATGTCACAGTTAAGATGATGACTTAATTTTCTGAATTTTTTTTTTTCATGAATGTCCAATAAATCGGAAAATAGATATGAAGTCAGCCACAGAATTATTTTTTTCGAATTCCTTTCAAGTTTGTGGTCACTACAGCCAAATAAATGTCGCCATTCGCTACAATTCTTTTATCAGTTTCTGACAGAGGTGTCAATAATTCAATGCCTATACGAGAAGTTGAGTATGCTCGAATTATAATCATTTGCGATATTTCAATAAGGTAATTTCATTTGTTGTTCATTAATATCAGCCAGAAAATTAACTGGCGGATGTGTGAGATGCCTCCTGGGAGTGGGTTAACTTAAGCGTTAAACGTTAATTTGTGATTGTATTTTGTTATATCAAACAACCCATGATGGATAATATAATAATATAGACGTGTACATGCCATTACCGACGAACGGATCGCCAGTCATGCAAGCTAGCATATTATTTTCTTTCTTCAATTATATGCTGTCGTGAATAGGGTCGAAATAAAAATACTAGAAAATACAGCGTTCGAAAATAAAAAGAACGTACCTGATTGTGCATTCGGAAAATGGAATCCTAATCCCGTTTTTGACTTTTTGAAAAGTTGCTATAGGGTGATTCTTTTTTATTTCAACCTTTTTAATGTTCGATGTTCAACGATGCAGTTTTCCTGTTGTATAAACTGCAAGCAACTTCTGAATGACTAGTTTAGAAGGGAACACAGTGGACTCGCACCCCTTAAAGCCGTCGTTACTCTTATATATGCATCCCTAAATGCATTGCGGTAATGACGTCATTGTAACAGACATCATGTTTCCAGTTGCAAAGGAACGTGTCTGAAGCCATTTTGTAATAAAAGCCAGATAACAGATTATGGCAGAAAAGAATGAAAATTGAACGGAGAATGGTTAATAGCGTCATGGTCCATCTTGAATAGACCATTTTCCGTACACTGCGAGAATCACGCGTTATGCGTGAAATCGAACGTAAAAACAGGACAAACAAAGGTCATAGCGTCGTAGTCGCGTCAAACATCGCGTGGGATTCGACAAACGCGAAAGTATTTCGGGGACATTTCCATGCTTAATAATGTGCTGTCCACATTTGATGATAGGCAATTTCGATTAAGTAAGGGTATTCGGAAGCAATATTCCTCTGTCGAAGATCGGCCGGTCAATGTAAGCTACGAAATAAAGAAATTCTAGTTCAAAATCAAATCGTTCGATTTTTGCGGCAGACGTTCGACGCGCGTCTTTCATGCATCTCGCGAGATCTCGCAAGTGTACGGTAAATCACCTATTGGGAGTCTAAATCAGCGTTTCTTTTTTTTTTAAATAATCGTGAAATTAGAGACTCATGGATTGACGTATACAATTATATTTTACATGTTATTATATATGTCTGAATTTAAACCTCGTTATGGTTTCACCAGTTGAAAGGTTAAACATAATAGTGACTTCCTCATTTTATATTTGATTGTTCTCGTTGTTGTCCTTTATGCTATTGGCGTTTCTAAGGGTGTGAATGGGATTTTGTTTCCTTTCTCAATTTCTTAGAAGCTGTTTTATATTATGCATTTTATTTGTCCATTCTCAGTTACTGCCGCTTTCTGTGTGGTCCTGGGTGTAAGATACTCAGTAATGTTATTCTTGGAATACACAGTCGAATGACAGATCAAATGTTTTTATATCCCCGTATTCAAGTCTAACATCGGTTAGATGGTCCATAATATTGTGTATCAGCAAAATACTAGACTGTCAACTGATAGTCATTACGTATGTATATCGAAGAAAACAACAAATAAAATAAATATTTTATACATATACTGCCATAGAATGCATATTTTTAAAAGTAAGCAAATAACACCGAATAAACGGCAAGGTAAATACTACGTCTAATTATAGTAAACACGTACTGCGAACGTAGTAGATGTAGATGTTTTGAATGGCATCAAGACAATTTTTCTAACAACTTGATAACTCGGGAATCGTTCTTGATATGATATTCTACCAAAGAAACACTACGTCATTTATCACCCCACCCCATCCATACCCGGAAACATTGACGATGACAGATGTGTTTATCCTTGGTGTAGCATACACTTACTCTATTTCTCAGATTATGGAAATCTGCACTGTGTGTACTGCCCACAGTGCAATGTCTTCGCTATAAGTGTAGTTTGGGTGGGTAGGGTGACAGGTGGGGGCATTCCGAGTTTATACCCGCAATGTTGTCGTTCACCCAGTACAACGGTTGTTTTGTGATGTCTGTGCCATTCGTGACTGTACCATAATGAAACTCCAACATATACACAAAGAATTTCTGTGAATTCTATGAAATAGTTGGAATACAAATGTAGGCGAGCGATATTGCTTGTATAATTTTCACACCCTAAATGCAATCCGTGAAAAAAAAAATAAAAAAAAAATAAAAAAAAAATAAAATAAAATAAAATAAAATAAAATAAAATAAAATAAAATAAAATAAAATAAAATAAATTAACTCTTGTTTGTGAAGGAAATAATTTATTGTTGAATTTGAATACTCACTGGACTTTAATTTAGCTGTCAGAGAAAAAAAAGTTAAAATGAAACCATGGAATAATTAAGCATGATGCAGCTCTTGTTTCTATCACGTGTTTGCAGCGGTGACGCATGCGTGAATACGTTTTTTGTTGTTTTGTGTGTATGTGTGTTGAGGTACTGATTTTGTAGCGTATCTACTTCACGAGTAAATGCAAAAATATCCTAGCATGGGCCATATGATCAAAGCATTTGCAGCAGATTTCAGCCCTTTAGTTATATTACGATCACCTTCGACTCGCTTTGATCATAGATCTATACAAATCTGTTAATAGGCCCTTGCTTAGATTAAAATCAGTTATTTATACAGATTGTCCCAGGCATGTTTGTCGGTTATTTTCATGTACTCGGGTTGGTGATATTTTCCTGGCTGTTGTTCGGCTTCGTTAGTCTACAAATTTCCGTTGTTGACGTCATAACACACAGTGTACATCAATCTGATTAAAATATGACGTAGGTATAAGGCTTGTAGCAATTTATATATATTTGTTATTATTATTTTTTTCCCTCCATATTGTATTTATAGATTTTTGTTAAGCGTTCACGTCTTCAACTCCGCCGTGTAACCATGAACTAGCATTACATTGCACGACACGGGTGCCACAAACTATATCAAACCTGAATTTAAAAAGTAGAGTACGAATATTGTTTCCTTTCCGCTTCAGCATCAATAAACCCTCGTCGCTGGTAGTATGACTGCCAACACTTAAGTGAATCATATTTGAAATTCACAAGGAAATCTCCAGTCTATGTTCAATTTTAACAAATTAGGAGGCCGTTTCTTTTTTCCCCTCTCCTACCAAAAAAAAAAAAAAAAACGTGCAAAAATCTTCATAATTGTTGGTTTCTTGTGTGTGTAATATTCTGTCCGGGTACGGCATCATTGTAAGAGCGTTCTTTGAAACTGGTTCATGACACCGCCGCGCACAGTCACTGTATCGTGCGTACACAAATGAGTCGTATGCATGCGACTTTTTCATGATTTTACTCTGTTTCATATAGCGCATTTACATGTCATGCAGTGGTGCGGCAGATGGATATTTGGAGAACGATTTGTTTCGAACGAGGCAGCAATTATGATGGCGTACTGGGACAAACGTATCACGTGCCATTGAAACCCACAATTCGTTTGTTCTCGGCTCCAGCGAACAACAATAATCGCAGCGTCGTAATGATGG